TGATGCAGGACCCTATTGTAAACTACTAAATGTGTTATCCTATTGAAATAAAGGAAATTATTAGTATTATTAAATTCTGCTCGCCGAAGTGAATAAGCATAGGGGAATTTTATTCAGCAAGTTATCATATGTGGCGACGAATGATATTAAGGATAAGACATGGGATAGTATCTTCACAAAGATAAATTCTTCAAATACTGACTCAACAAGATGCTGAAGGCCGTTTGTGTTGGTTTTTATTTAGACTTAGGACATTTTAACTTTTAGGATTATCCAAAGACACTTGCGCAAAACTCTTTTCGCGTTTGTATAGAAAGCTATGAACGTCCTCGAATCAACAAAAGGTAAAAAAAAAAAAAAAAAAAAGAGAAAACAAATGAGCGGATATTTATTACAAACACAATAAAGTAAAGGAAAACAAGTATGACAAACAGCTCCAAAGGACAAGCCCTGAATAATTATAAACTTCATATCCTGATTATATCATAATTTTGCGGATAATTAAGTATGATGACGTAATATACATGAAACGATGACAAATTAACCTTAAAAATATTCAAACCCACATTAAAGTGAAAAAAAAACCATACATCTTCATCCCGAAATGGAATCCTAAGATCATACTGAGCACCTCTGATTTTAGATCAAAGACATTTTTCGTGGCTTTGGTAGTGTAAATTTCGTCTCATGCATGAGGTTCTGAATGGGGTTTACAAAGTAGTGAATAATTGACAACACAGTGCAGAATAACGTGCAAAAAATAAAAATTGAGAAAAATAAGCCGAAAAAACATAGAAAAGAGAATAATGGGATGCTAAAATATATAAAATAGAGAATAAGTGGCAAATTTAAAAAATAGAGAAAAATGTCCTAAAAAATTAATGAATAAAGACATGAAGAGCCCCATCCTGACCCTTTTTCCTACATGTTACTTATTTGAGATATGAATGTCAAGGTCACGAATCTTCCTATATTTGTTTTATCATTTTCCATTTGATTAATCGGACATGGTCTGCGGTTTAGGGAATTTTGCTTTCATTTTCCAATTAACAACCACATAACCGCATATTTTGTACCTCGGTGTTTCATTTCATACTATTGATTTACATGATCTGCAGACGACACGCTTGTTGGCGAAACATGTAGACCATACTGATCTATTAACTTGCGGTAATTTACGGATGTTGTTGTCTTTAATGTCGTTTTATATTACATATTTTATTATTCATATACGTACATTTTTGAAAATAAAAAAAAGTACTGAAAGTTTAAACGTACTAACGACGTCATTCGGAAAGCTTGAAGTTCTCAAGGTCATTCAGAAAAATAAATCATCGAAAGAGAGACAGCACAGTTACGACTAAAAGTAGACGAAACACGGCTCGATAAAAAATCAAATGTCAGAAGGCGTCTGTTTCGGTGCTTCTCTTTTGTTTTACTTTGTTGTGCCTTCTTTCATAAATGACAATAAAACACGTTGACGTTATTGACTTGCCTGGGATCGATTATTTTGATTCGAGCGCCACTGATGAGTTTCGTGTAGACGAAATGCGTGTCTAGCGTATAAAATTAAACGCCTTGTAAATGTATCTTTGATTAGTTTAAAGATTTAATATTGACACTTGTCATATATTGATGATCATGTGTTGATCTAAATATGTCTTTCTTCACTTTTTTTTTTCTTATAAGAAGGATGCTTTATTGACATACACCACACACTTGTTTATAATTAAAGAAACCGTACGAGTAAACATATACATAAATGGAGTATATACGGTATATTCCAAAAAGACAGCAACCCAACGACTGAATGATATAGATTAATCTGAACTTCGATATACAGATACGCTTATTGATTCAAAAAATTCTACCAAATCCTTCACAAATTGAATATAGGAGTTTATAATGTAAAATGTTACATCAAAAGCATATCGGGAATTGCCCAAAAAAAACAAAGTACAACACAATTCCAGTCAAATAACAACGAACAACATATGGTTCTGATAGCCTGACTTGGTAAAAGACCAAAATTTGGTGTGAAGTTAAAACAGTTTTATGTCAAACTCTAAATCGATGAGAGTCTAAACAATTATATCATATAGAAACTACTTAAAATAAACTTATTCTAAAAGGTTGCCATTTCAACAATGTTATTAGATCTTTGAATATTGTTTTTATTGGTATAAATATTGATTTTGTTATCAGTAAAATAAAACCATATTAGATATTATTGTAATACACATACACGTATGCACATTCAAGGTACTACAATATGTCAATACTTATATTTTGGCATTGCACAAAATCATGTTTTTCTCTGACTGTTAATGGCGTCTTTACACTAAGTCCATTTGGGTGATGGATGTGTACTGATTGAAATTTTAGTCTTAAATTCATGATTTCTTAATTAGTTGTTACTGGCTTTCAAATAGCTATCAGAAACTTCGAGTACTCTCAGATCTGTACTGTGTGTCTTTATTGTTGTTAGGGGTGTATAAATACCCTGCCACGTTCGGTCTAGTTTTTTTTGGTAAATGTTTTTTCTGCTTTGTATTGAACTGACGAGTTAAGCCCTTTTCAATTGATTTTTATAGTTTGTTCTTATGCTGTGCTGTAACACCACTGTCCTAGTTTAGGAGGAGGGTTTACCGATCACAAACATGTTTACTAATGTTTTATTATTCATAAAGTACGTACATTTTTGAAAATAAAAAAGTACTGAAAGTTTATTCGTACTTCTATACTAAATCAAACTGCGTAATTCGGAAAGCTTGAAGTTCACAAGGTCAGTCAGAAAAACAACTCGTCGAAAGAGAGACAGCACAGTTACGACTAAAAGTGGACTAAACGCGGATCGATAAAAAATCAAATGTCGAAAGCGTCTGTTGTGAGTGCTCCTCTTTAGTTTTACTTTTTTTGCCTTCTTTCATAAACGACAATAAAACACGTTGACGTTATTGACTTGCCTAGGACCGATTATTTTAATTCGAGCGCCACCGACGAGTCTCGTGCAGTCGAAACGCGTGTCTGGCGTATAAAATTAAACGCCTTGTAAATAGATCTTTGATTAGTTTTAAGATTTAATATTGACACTTGTCATATATTGATGATCATGTGTTGATCTAAATAATATGTCTTTCTTTATTTATTTGTTTACTTATAAGAGGAATATTTTATTAACATACACCACACACATTTTTTTATTTATTTAAAGAAACCGTACGAGTAAACATATACATAAATGGAATCGCCCAAAAAACACAAAGTACAACACTATCCCAGTCAAATAACAACGAACAACATATGGTTCTGATAGCCTGACTTGGTAAAAGAACAACATTTGGTGTGAAGTTAAAACAGTTTTATGTCAAACTCTAAATCGATGAGAGTCTAAACAATTATATCATATAGGAACTACTTCAAATTAACTTATTCTAAAAGGTTGCCATTTCAACACTGTTATTAGATCTTTGAATATTGTTTTTATTGGTATAAATATTGATTTTGTTATCAGTAAAATACAACTATACTAGATATTATTGTGATACACATACACGTATGCACATTCACGGTATTACAATCTGTCGATACTTATAATTTGGCATTGCACAAAATCATGTTTTTCTCTGACTGTTAATGGCGTCCCTACACTAAGTCCATTTGGGTGATGGATGTGTACTGATTGGAAGTTTAGTCTTAAAATTCATTATTTTTATTAGTTGTTACTGGCTTTGAAATAGCTATCAGAAACTGCGAGTACTCTCAGATCTGTACTTTTTTTGTCTTTATTGTTATTAGGGATGTAAAAATACCCTACCACGTACGTTTTTGTTTTTTTTTATTAAATTTTCTGCTTTGTATTGATCTGATGAGTTAAGCCCTTTTCAACTGATTTTTATAGTTTGTTCTTATGTTGTCCCAGTTTAGGGGGAGGGTTAAGCGCTCACAAACATGTTTAACCCCCCCCCCCCCTCCCCTCAATTATATCATATAGGAACTACTTCAAATTAACTTATTCTAAAAGGTTGCCATTTCAACACTGTTATTAGATCTTTGAGTATTGTTTTTATTGGTATAAATATTGATTTTGTTATCAGTAAAATACAACTATACTAGATATTATTGTGATACACATACACGTATGCACATTCACGGTATTACAATCTGTCGATACTTATAATTTGGCATTCACAAAATCATGTTTTTCTCTGACTGTTAATGGCGTCCCTACACTAAGTCCATTTGGGTGATGGATGTGTACTGATTGGAAGTTTAGTCTTAAAATTCATTATTTTTATTAGTTGTTACTGGCTTTGAAATAGCTATCAGAAACTGCGAGTACTCTCAGATCTGTACTTTGTGTCTTTATTGTTATTAGGGATGTAAAAATACCCTACCACGTACGTTTTTGTTTTTTTTATTAAATTTTCTGCTTTGTATCGATCTGATGAGTTAAGCCCTTTTCAACTGATTTTTATAGTTTGTTCTTATGTTGTCCCAGTTTAGGGGGAGGGTTAAGCGCTCACAAACATGTTTAACCCTTAACCCCCCCCCCCCCCCCCCCCCCCCCCCCCCCCCCCCCCCCCCCCCCCAACGCACACACACACACACACACTTCTTTAAAGAAGAACTAGTTAACAGGTTCCATGCTTCCTGGAACGGTAAAAAGCAACATGATGTGGGCTTTGTTCATTGTTGAAGTTGTTAATTTCTGTGTCATCTGTTCTCTTGTGGAGAGTTGTCTCATTTGCAATCATACAGCCTCTTCTTATTTTTATATGTCAACAGGGTACATGACTCGTCTTAAGGTAAAGAGGAACATGATAACATGTTACACGATTCATACCAAGTAAAAAAAGAAGGTTTACACATGTTACATAATTCTAAGGAAAGTTAAAAGGTACATTATAAGGGCTACACGATTAATGGGTAGGTAAAAAGGAACAGGTTTAATGATTGTTTGAAAATATGACTTGAAATTTGTTAAATATTTTAGGTTAAAGTGGTACGACTCGGGCTGCAATCAAAAGTCTGCCTTAGCAGCTGCTGTTAGTGCGAAATCAAACTTTGATCCGGACTTATTTCTGGGACCACCTTGCTCATCTGGTAAATATTTTTCTTTATTTATCCCAATGATTTGATACATTTTCATCGAGGTTAAAGGTTATTGGTTGATCACAAAACAATTTTGTTTAGATAGATATAGTGATCATTATTTAGATTATTTACTATTTGGAAATTGATAATACGCTGATTAATATCAACTATATATGTTGAAAATGAGCTTAAAATGTTTTTGTTTGATTATTTTGTTTGTGACAGGGGATTTAATTTTTTTTGCACCGACTCGTATACCCTTTTCGAATTTAATGCCTTCAAACATAAATAAGGCCGTTAGTTATCTCGATTGAAGTGTTTCATATTTTTCGTGTCGGGGTTTTTCATAGCCGACTATACGGTATTGGTTTTGCTCATTGTTGAAGGCCATACGGTTGTCTGTGGTTAGCTGTTTAGGATAAGTGGTACGATTCGGACTGTAATCAAAAGTCTGCCTTAGCAGCTACTGTTATTGCGAAATCAACCATTGATCAGGACCTATATCTGGGACCACCTTCATTTATTATAATCATTTGATATAGTGTCATCGACGTTAATAGATTATTGGTCGATCACAGAGCTATTTTGTTTGGATAGGTAGAGTGATCATTTTTTAGATCATTGACTATTTGGAAGTTGATAAAACACTGATTAGTATCAACTATATACATTCGTACCACTTTTGCATTTGACCATGTCCCTTGTAAAAGAGAGGCGGAAGATACCAAAGGATATGTGGTTTCCATCCATGACACAAAATCAGTTCATTCAAACTCATAAGTAGAAAATAAACTGACAACGCCATGGCTAAAAAAAAAAAAAGAAAAAGACCAACAGACAAACAACAGTGCGCAATAACAACATAGAAAACTAAAGACTCGAACGGCACCAAAAAAATGACGGTGAACTCAGGTGCTCCGAAAGGGCACCAGTCGTGTTGCTCATGTTAGTACACACCGGTAATAAGTCTAATTCGGTTGGTCACATTCGGGGAAAAGGGGACAGGATTGTAATTGCGTCAATTGGACCATATCCGCTGTCATCTGTGAAACGGATATTCCATAACGGTCAACCACCTCGTGATTGCGTCCTTAAAATTTACGAAGGGATGATTTCAACTTCACCACTTGGAACTCTTGGTTTAATAGCTTCCTTGTGAGTAGCAACCTTCTATCAACAGAATCATGATACGCAGCGATGTTAAGGCAATTTCGTTAAGATTTTGTCAGGGGCAGATAACCCCGTAAGGACCTCATCATGTATTCATATATTCATTAATGGCGAAGATTCCGTAAGCTGCGTCTATCGATGAAACTGTATGAAATCAAATTACATACATGCCTGTTAACTAAAAACGGGTATCCATATGATGTAATTTGTTTATCGAAACACGAATATTGTATGTTTGTGCTTTAATTATTATGGCAAACAGCATACATGTGATTCTTCCGGCGGGAGTCAAAATCTCCCGCTTTTCAGACCCTCTTCCGTCCCTCCCGTTAAAAATTGAAATCTTCCGCTTTTTGAAAATGTCAACCTCGAAAAATTTTCAGTAGACATTTTTGTTTACAAAATTGATACTGACAGAGAAAAAGTCCGAGAAACTCGAAATTGATATGGGAAAAGTCCGAGAAAAACGGAAGTCACCATTTCCTGTTATTGATTTTGTGTCAAAAGGTAAACATGTAATTAGTGCAGTAATCAATGAAGGTGTTTAGGATTAGACTGTATATACAACAATAAAAGATGATTGACAATTACCTGGTGATCAACTAGCTAGTTTAAGACACACGCCTGGATGATTAAAAGTGAAATACTGACAATGCCAATGGATTAAGTTGTATAAACAACGACTTTAATTTGATGCTGTTGAAAACATTGAACAGTTACATTATATTACTGAACCTCAAAGACAAATGAAATCAACTCAGATATGATATTTATGGCTTGTTTTCTATCCAAGCCAATGGAATACCTATATAAGTATGTTTGTCTTGAACAATTCTAAAATTTTATAATTTGAAAAAATGCAAACCATATGTTATCACCAAATACCACAGCAGCAAATTAAAAAAGACCAAGTATCTAGTCAAATTCAACTCTGACTGGAGATCTGATTTCAAATGGTGCAAGTCCAGTGCCAACGGTCAAGACTATGCTTGCTACACCTCTTGCAAAGCTGACTATGGTGGCCCTAATGACTTAACCAAACATATGAAGATAACTACCCATCAGAAAGCCCACAACTCTACCAATTCAACACCACTGTTCAGTAGTGGTACCAAAGTTGACAATGTGGCTTAGGCAGAGATACTTTTTGCCAACTATATATGATGGCTGATCACTTTATCTTGAACTATATATATAATGAATAAATATTTGAAAAACCCTTATCTTCTATTTCTATTAAGTACAAATGGCTATGCAGGTGTTTAAAGGTATAGAATCATTAACAAAAAAAGAAGATATGCAGTTTAAACACCAAAAAAAAAACCATTGCGTACGTCGATAAAAATGTCGATCAAAAACCTCCAGTTATGTGGCCCAAACTCCAGCTGAAAATTTCCAAATCTCCAGTTGTGGCTTGACAACTCTGTCACATGTCTGCTTGAAACAGTTGCAATAGCTGTTTTTGTTGACGAGATTGTCGGCTTGTTGACCCCGCCTCCTTTTGCAGATTAACCAATCAGTAGACGATCGCCGTCAAATAGATGTTTGTAGTTTGCAGAATGGAAAGAACCTTGCAGCGAAAAAAATTTCACTTCTATGTGAAAATCTAACCAGAAAAGTAAGTGTGAGCCTCCAAATATGTATTATTTATGAAACATACGTTGCTTGTTTTGTTAATCATTCGCTTCAGAAATAAAAAAACTGTATACTTATAGATAAAAACGAGTTCAGTGTTGACAAGCATGATATACACGTGGTCATGGTGGTCAAAACGAAACTAGAATGCAACAAATATCTGAAATTTGAATAATTTATCGGATCCCGTCAATAAATGAACAGAATATCGAATGAAACAAAATCCCTCCATTATTATAATGATTATACCGAGAGCCCATTCTCAACATTTACCCTGAAATTCGTTTCTAATTTACGTTTAGCAGGTACCTGCCATTCGGGGAAAGGGGGGGGGATTCCACCGTTCACTTCTCTCCGGCACCCACATTGCTGGAGCCATGACCCCTACTTTCAAAGCATGGAGCTTTTAATTTGTAACACAGGGCACACAAACTTGCTCAAAAGGAAGCCTTGCAAGACGTTATAATTATTTGGACTACCCCCCCCCCCCCCCCCCCCCCCCCCAACTTCTAGTACTACTCCCACCATTTAATCAGTGTGAAGTCCATACTTTTTTTTTCTAATTAGTGCTGTTGGTTTTAATCAACTTTGAATTTAAAAGGGTAGTAAAGGGTTAATTTTATGCAATGTTTTCTATTTACCCAGTGTTTATATTTTATTTACTTGTTTTCGTGTTTTGACGGTTGACCTCTCAATACATGACATGTATCTCGTGTTTGGTTCTTTGTGCGTGCTACATGTTTCCCCTTATTTATTTCCATGTTTCCTGTCGTACAATTTCTCATGCTTGTCAAAAAAGTTTTGCAATTTTATTGAATATTTATGGTTCAAGTATGTGATAAAGAACTTCAAATTTAAATGTACTATAAATGATAATTTTTTGAAATTGGATGCAACTTAAGCTGTTTAGGAAGTTAAAAGGTGACATCAACATGATTACATCTTTATGTCCATTAAAAATTACTGCAGAAGGCTGACATGGCTGAGTATCTGGGTAATTATTTGGAAATATCCTGGACAGTGCGTCTTTCTCTGGAAAAAGCCTGTGCACCTTGAATAAATTATCTTATTATCTGTGAACCAGTATTTTTAAAATCATTACCAAGTCAGAAATATATATATAACCAATTGCAAGTTTATGTACTTAAATTGCTGGCTAAATAGAACAATTTTTAATACATAGTCAAAATAATATTATAATTTCTTGAAAGGCTTTGTTAATGATTAACTGGGACGCCTTCCTCATGTTCCTATGACTGTATTAGGAAGGAATCGCAGCAAAAAATTGAAGAAGCTTTTCATGACACAATAATATTATACTAATTAATATGTAGTTTGCTCATCAAGACTGCCCACTTTGACATATTCTTTTTATATATATATGTAGGACTAAAGTGCAATGGTCACGCTAAAGTGCGATGATCTACGCTTAAGTGCGATCAGATGACACGCTAAAGTGCGATGGTGTAACGGGAATGGGATTCAGGTGACGGTTTTTGTTTTTTGCTGTGTTCATATTAGTTTTTCGTTTATTGTATTGTTTCTAAATCATGTCGTTGTTATTCTCTTATGAATTGTTTTACACAAGTCATTTCGTGATCCTGTATAGCTTTCTATGCGACGTAAGCCAAGGCTCCACATTGAAGGTCATAACATTATTAGGTGCATACATCAACGATATTTGGTCTTTTTGTATATTAATCAGTCCGTTATCTTTCTCGTTTGAATTGTTATAATCTTTCTCGTTTGAATTGTTATACACTGGTCGTTTTGATACTCTGGTCGTTATAGAATACTATCTGCGGGGTTAGCCAAGGGTATGGGGGTATATTAGTAGCTCACAGATTCACTTCTTTGTTTTAGATTTTTTTTTGGGGGGGGGGGGGGGGGGGGGGGGCTGGCTTTTTTTTAGCACAGCTCTTTATTGTGGGTCTCATTGGGGTCTTAACGTGACCCGGGATTGCCGATTTTTTGTAAGTGTGACACGTGAAAGTCAAATTATTGTGCCGTGAAAACGGGAAATGAAGTCTAGCAGGACACGGGAAATTACAAAAAAATGAGAATTGCTAATGTACATAGTGTAAGCGGGATACGGGAATCTGACAAAACAGTAAGCGGGATCCGGGATCAGGACCCCCCAATGAGACCCCCCTTTATTTAGCACAGGATGCAGCAATTCTAGAAATCCAAGAAAAAATAGGCAT